TGAATCTTGCCAACAGAGAGTAATTTGAATTAGGAATTCAAAATCATTATAATGCTTCATTCTCAGGCTGAGGGGTGTGTAACCTTCGTTCTCAGGCTGAGGGGTGCATGTGTGTGTGTGTGTGTATAGAATTTGAGACGAGGCTCTAAATGTCTAAAAGCTTGTAGAGATTCTCGTCTTGTGTGCTTCCCTAACATGGAACCAGGATGCTGCAGAGGCTTAGGTTTCAAAGCAGAAAATGCTTCCTCATAAGTGTGATTCTGAAAAGGAGGCATTTTAGCAAATTCAGCTCTTGAAAGATGATCCATACATTAAATTTTTATCCCTGTACCTGCTTTCCTCTTTCATATCAAGTTTATGGTTACCAGACTTGGATGGACTCCAAGTACCCCTTCAGCCCTGGCTCTGCCTAGAGCTGAGGCAGCTGTAGTTTTCGTTAGGGGAAAAACCCAGAGGGAGAGACACAGAAAACATCATGGTGGCAAAGGCTGTAGAACAATGGAGAGAAATGGTTCTGAGCCCAGAACATCGCAGTCTTGTTCCTCCTAAGTCGCAGAGATATTCCATCTCTGTTCTCCACCCTTCTGCAGCCACCTACCATCCTCCTTCAGAGGCTATTTTCAAGTAGGCAGGTGAACAGGGGGCATTCCCACTTGAGAGGGTCTTTGCGAGAGTTACATCCTCTAGAATTTGATCATTGCAAGACATCTTATACTATAGTTAGGAGGAAAAATGCAATAGCCATTTGACCAGTGTCACCCAGGCAGAAGTCATGGGGGACAAGAAAGAGGTTTAAGCCCAGTACCATGGACAGCAGGAAGTGACCTACTCAGGGAACTTGGACCTGAAGCTGCCCAGAACCCACCGGATGAAAGAAGCTGATCTAGAAACAACAGAAACTTGAGCCTGTCCACTTTTGACTTGGGGCTTCTGCAACAGTAGCTTTGAAGAAACATGCTTTATGTTGTAGCCTAGTTCACACATATCTGTGTGGGAGCATGTGTGACCAAAACATAAGTTTCACAAAACAATTCTTATATGTGATGCCCTCTGATTTTTTTTAAAATCGATTTTTACCTTTACAAAATGCATGTCACAACCCAGTAACTTGATTTCACAGTCTGCTAGTGGGTCACAATAGTTGAAAAACATTGTTCTGTTGTATAACATTATCGAAGCGTTGGTAGTTCTTTCCAAATTGACACCAAACTTTTACCTAAAGTCGTATCTTACTGTATTATTTCTGTCTTTTGTGATTAAGTCATCTTAGAGAGTTCTTGACATAGAATAGTGGAGACGTTTCTGGGAATCTTTATGGTCAATATGCAGGTTAAACAGTGAACCCCTTCAGGCATTATTAAAGAGTGGTTGCTGGATTCCTGCCTGTGGGTTCTGTCCCAGGGCTTCCTGCCATTTGACCAAGGATTCTCAGCTTTCCTCACATTGTCTCTGTTACCTGCTCTTGCCAGATTCCCACCACTTCCTTCCCACTACCTCTGGGCTTGATTTGCCCTCTGGGAATGGCTCCTGCCACATTAAACTTCACTTTCCCCCAACACCTTCTCACCCTCTGTCACTTTCTTAGGTATCACTGCCCTGCTTCTCCTTGACTTTTCCAGTTGGTTCATTCACATGGGCTAAATGATAATGGAGTCTCACATGGTTACTATTAATAAGTACAGTTACACCATGCCAACGCTGTGATGCCTTTGTCCGTAGCAGCTTGTAAAAGGCCAAGGAAGAACGGGAAAACCAAGTAGGGACAGAGAAGGTGGCCCTTTGGTGATAAAAGACTCAATATCACCAAAGAGGCAGTGCCTGTGCAAAACGCTTTCCTGAAATGCTGACCAAAGTCCATTATTGGCTTTAGCATATAATGACCTGGGCTGACAGGAGGTACAACATCCCTAATGCCTTGTTTTCTGAGGTTTTTTCAAACATGGGGCTGATAATACTTACCTTGTGTATGGATGCTTTGCGTGACAGTTGTGAAGGACTTGACCTGATGTCTAGAAGATAAGGAGTGTCCATAATCTGTAACCTTTGTTCTTATTTTTATTAGTATTCTATTCCTTTGTAATAAATTACTGTAAAGTTAGCAGATTGAAACTACAGATATTTATTGTCTTACAATTCCTGTATGTCACAAGTCTTGGCATGGCATCGATGGGTCCTTTGCTATGGGTCTCATAAGCTAAAATCAAGGGATTGGCTGGGCTGTGTTCTCATCTGGAGCTTGGGGTCCTCCTGCAACTTCATTCAGGTTATTGGCAGAATTCAGTCCTTGCAGTTGTAAGTCTGAGGTCCTAGTTCCCTTGCTGGCTGGCTGGGGGTTGCACCCAGCTCCTGAAGATCACCCTCAGTCCTAGCCATGTGGCCTTGTCACAACACACAGTTACTTCTTCAGAGACAGCGGAAGAGCCCCCAGTCTGCTATGGCAGAGTCTTAGACAACATACCACCTTATGTAATGTTCCATAATCAAAGGATGTTCCATAATCCATCCCATCATATTCATAGGCCCCTCCATACTCAAGGGGAGGGTGTCATGCAGTGAGGGTATCATACTAGGAGCGGGAATCTTGGGGTCATCTTTGAATTCTGCCTACCACATTATCACATTTATCATGAATCTAACGTAATTGCTAAGGACTCTTGTCTTTGCAAATTCACGATAGGAAACAGTCCCAACTCTTTTGGTTTACAATTAATTGTCTGAACTCTACCTTCCCCCAAAGCAAAAAATTATTTATCTCCCTTAAATGAGTCCCCTCCCTACATACGTACACACACACACACACTGGTTACTGAGACCATTGAGATTCTTTGGGAGGAGGGTGCCAAGGAATTTCTGTGAACGATGCTCTGTGTCACATTAGCAGACAGTGCTGTTCATGCAGTGCTGGGTCCTTGCAGGTCCAGCCCAGGTCCAGATTTACCCCAACCCCTGGACGTTTTATTTTCTCTCACACTGTGTGCTTAACCGTTCTTCTCCACAGTGCAACTATGGTGTCTGTGGAGCTAGGCCTGGAGAGTCCAGCAGCACCATCCATCCTAGAACCAGCACTCAGTCCTAGCACTGAGGCCCCTGTGCTGCTCAGGTCATTGCCAGGCAGGATTTCTGTGTGGTTTCTGCTCAGATGTCATTTCAATGAGTCATCCCTGAACACCTTGTTTAAAATTGTATCATCTACCACCTCCTCCCCTGTGCTCTCAACTGCCAACTCCTGCTTTATTTTTCACCATAGTGGAACCTCTTGCCATCCATCACAGTTCATATTTTCTTGCCTATTTCTCTCTTCTAGAAAGAAAGCTCTTCCACAGCAGGGTCTTCTGTCTGCATTGCTCCCCACCTAGGACCAGTGCAGAGCTGAGGTCCTAGTAGCACTCTGTGGCTTTTTGTTGGATGCTGGTTATAAGAACCAGCAGCATTTTTAAGCACAAATTTCGGTGCCCTCTTGGTTATTGGTTGGTTAAAGCAAGTTAAACAGATTATCTCATGTCACCTGCTTATGGGAGCATCTCATTGAGATCATAACTGTTTCTACCTAGAGGGTAGAAGGTCATGTTCATGGACTATGGGAGGACTAGATGTGTAAACATCTGTGTTGTGTAGACAATGGTGTGTGTGTCCATGGGTGGTGGTGGTGCTGGTTGTGGTTGTGGTTGGGCAGGTGGTTGTCCTTGAAATGATAGAGGATTTAGTGGCAGTTGGGTGCTGGGTGTTTAAACAGATAGAAGCAGCCCCAGGAGCCAGCGGAGGAGAAGCATCATTGGAGCTAAGGTCTGCCAAGTTCCACTGTTAGTCATATCTCTCCATCTTAGCCAGTAACTCCATCTTAACTAATATTTTCTAGGAATCTGTTTTCTACACATTTTTCTATAAAACAAGCCAATTTGTACTGGAATTATCTATAAATTCAGTGTCTGAGATCTTAGATCAAATTGTGTATTCCTCCCAACTACTTTTTTTTAAAGAAGAAAATTGGTAGGAACCTAGATCACAATTATATGGTCATTTAATATTATTGAAAAACAGTGTACTTCTTACCCTAACCCCCATTCCACTGCCACTTGGACTCAGATCTCTCTAGTGAAAGTTTCTCTATAAATACCAGAGTGCAGAACCGGAGAGCATGAACTTTCATAGCAGTCTCTCTTTTCAAAAAAATAAAGGGTGAGGCGTGGGGACTGGGGAAGGGCAGGACTATTGAAGGAGGCTGAGGTGACGCCCTGTGGCCCACACTGGGCTCTGTTCTCAGCTGGGGCCTTTCTTAGGCAGCACTTCTGGGGAAGGAATGGCCCTGAGCATGTCCATGAGAGCCTGTGCCCTGCCCAGCCCCAAGCCTCAGGCACGGGTAGGGGTGGTGGTGAGGGCACTAGCAGTCCTTGTCAGCACTTATATAATGATGATGACCTTAAAACTTAGAGCAGCACTCTGAAAGGGTCCTGCTCCTCCACCCATTTTGCTTGTGGGGAAACTGAGGCTCACAGAGGTTGAATAACTTGCCAGAAGTCCTGCAGCTAGCAAGTGGCAAGACCAGGACTAAACGTCCTAATTTATCTGACTCCATAATCTCTGCATTTAGCCTCACTGGACTTGTCAGTGCAATATTCCCGTCTTCTGAGCGTCGTCGGAGGTTGAGACCTGAGCAGGATCTGCAGCACATTGACATGGTCTCTGGTTCAGCTTCCTTCTGGTTACACAACTGGCAGGTGTCATGCTGGTCTTTGGTCATGGCGCCTCCCCAGAAGGAAACCATTGTGATTCGGCACATTGGGGATGTGTAGTAAACAGGGTGCTTTGAATTACACTGACCGTGTCCGTCTCAGCACCTTCTGTTTGGGCTACCAGACTGACAACAGTGAGTTCTGCTAGTTTCGTGAAATGCAGCAGTGGCAGTTCTGTCCTTTGCACTGAAACCTGCCTGGACCTCATGACTGGTCCACCCTTCCTTCTGACCCAAGACACTGACCAGCCTGTGTCTCTCTCTCCTACAGATGCCGCCCCTATGAGGACTGCTGTGGCTCCAGGTGCTGCGTGCGTGCCCTTTCAATACAAAGACTGTGGTATTTTTGGTAGGTCACACTCTTCCTGGTCTCAGGTGCCTTGGTCCACCCCCAGGGGCTCTGCCCACAGTCAGTATTGTGACAACTGCAGTGATACCACTCTCACTTGGGGTCATGGTCTGTGGGACAGCCTCAGTCAAGAAAACAGGTGTGCTCAGGTTGGCTTCATGACAAGCAGTGCTTCTCACAGAGTTTGCAAGAAGCTCATTCCTATTTCCACCAGCTTGTGGCTGGGGAGGAGGAGTTCTTCTTTTGGAAGGTGGGCTGGATAACAGCCTTGTCCTTCAGCAGCTCTTTTGCTAGTTTCTGAAATGGAGCTGAGGCCAGTTGTCTTGAAGAATCAGAGAATCAGCAAATCTTGTGATAAAGTTACTGCTGCCTAGAAATCTTTCCCATTCACATGGTATCAGCTGAATCCTAACTTTCAAGACAGATAGCCTGCATCCTTGTCCATCTTCCAGCTCTGCTGAGGGAAGTTGTAAGAGCTGTCTGAAGTCCATAAAAGTGTACCTTGAGAGGGAACAAGGGAATGATGCTGACTGAGCATCCTAGAAGGATGATAGTGCAGAGTTTACATTAACGAGAGCAACCTCCTGTGGATTGCTAGCCTCAGCAGATGCCCGTTTGGGGGTGTGTCTGAGAGTTTATTTGACTCTGTAGATGAGATATTGCTTCAGGTGTCAGGAATGGCAGAGCATGTGTGCTAAAGGATTTGCCTAAAACCAAAAGAGCATTTCCTATGCTCACCTATCCTCTCCTCTGCTCCACTGCAGTGGCAGTGTCATTGAAGCAAACTCCACAGAGGGTTAAGACTTGACTAGCTTCAAGACTTAAGCTTCTTTATGACTTTAAGATTCTGATGTTACTGACTTCTAAAGTTTAGACTTTAAGACCATTACAGCAGCCGCTTGAATTTTTTTTGCGACATTTTGTCTTTCTCTCCTGACAACAGTTCCCAATCTTTGCTTAGGGAAACCACCAATAAGTGGCATTCCGTGTGTCACATTTTCTTTAACAGGAGAGTACCTTTCATCATCCCCATCACCACCTCCTAGGAGAGTGCTTGTCATTATCCCCATCACTACTTTCCTGGTGGGACATTGACCATGTAGGGCCTAGACTCACCTGTCACATGGGGCCCTGGCTTGGCCTCCCTTAGGGCTGGCTCGGGCACCCCTGTCTATGTCTCTGCTTCTGGTGAACCCTCCTAAACAGTGGCATGCTGATGCTGGTTTCTCCCCACCTCATAGTTGCTAGTGCCTAAAGCTCTATAATAGAAGGTGATTTTTTTTAGCCTGAGATTTTCCAAATATAAACACCTCCTTGCACATTTCAAGGTGGAGGGGACTAGTACCAAAATGAGGAGAGGAGGACAGGAGGGAGGTGGCATTTCAGAGCTTTGCCTGGCTTCATGCATGCTTTTGCTCAGAATTTTCCTCCATGGGACCTTGTGGTAGGAGGAGGCAGGACTGTCCAGGGCATGAATCTCAAAAGGGTTCAGAAGTATGTCACGTTCACCTGAAGCACCAGATGAATGATGAAGTTGTGGATGTGTCCTAGAAAATGAAAACACTTGTGAAAGTTCAGGTATTATGTGATTAACAAGAAAAAATATTGAGAGTCCAGGAGAACTGTGGAGGCCTGGCAACTAGAGCAGCTTCCTTTGGCCTTCCCTGGAAGCTTCACCTCAGCTGACAGCCAGGCGCTTTTGAGCTGTTGACCAAGTTCACCTGTCAGAGGCCGAGCAACTAGGTGAGTTAGTGGGATCCCTACACGGAGATGTCTCCTGAGTGCCATTGAGTGAGGGTAGGTCTCTCAAGGTCGGAATGCCAGATGCCAGAAGATTTGGTCAAGTTATTAGAGTCGAGATTCTGATACCAGGTTTCTAAACTGGGCGCACGGCAAGAGAACACTGAGATGGGAGACTGTGGTGCCCCTGCTGAAGTCACAGGATACTTAGTTTCTGCTCCATGCGCGCCTTCTTTCAGTAAACAATAAGTGTCTAGTACGTACCAGGGTCCCATGGAGAGGCCCTTCTGACAGTCTTAGACAGACTCTTAGAAGAGACAGATGTCTAAGTAGGTAGCTACATGTGGGGAGCTTTAAACCAGTGCTCTGGAAACAGGTCATAGAGCTCTGTTGCCAGAAAAGTTGGGGAAAGCTGCAAAGCTTCTCACTGGGTCTCAGAAAGGGCATTCCACACAAAAGGACCAGCACATTACAGGGACAGGGATATAAGAAGGGAGCTGGTAAAAGGCTGATGGGAAACTCATGTAGTGGGCAGGTGTCTGGGGAGGAGGCATGAGAATGGGAGGATGGAGCTGGATATGGAGGGAAGGAAGGACTGCTTTCCAACCTGCTCCCACCTGACTTTTGAGGATTTCTGTCTCCTCACTGTAAGATAGAGGATTTTGGAGGAGAATGCTTTCAGAAGTCCCTGCCAGCTCTGAAATCTTGAGTAATCTTTAAGCAAGCTGGTCTGAATGAAATCATCAGGATTAGAACAGGCAGACTTGTTGCACCCTTGAGTGGAGCTGGAAAGCACACTATAGTGGAACAAAGGCTGGCACAATCGGCATTGTGTGTGAGCCCTGCTGCAGGGCGCTGCCACCCAGGAGGTCTAGGGTGGAGTCCAGGCACCTGGTCTGCACAGCAGCTCCACCGTGCCTAGGGTGTGCACTCAGAGTTGAGAACTGCTGTACCTAGTGCTGGGGAGTGCAGGAAGGCACTGAAAAAATGAATTGAAGAAGCCAGATGACTTTTTTTTTTTTGTAAGGAAGATTGGCCTTGAACTAACATCTGTTGCCAATCTTCCTCTTTTTGCTTGAGGAACATTATCACTGAGCTAACATCTGTGCCAACCTTCCTCTATTTTATGTGGGATGCTGCCACAGTGTGGCTTGACGAGCAGTGCTAGGTCCACACCCGGGATCCGAACCTGCAAATCTTGGGCCACTGAAGTAGAGCGCACGAACTTAACCACTGTGCCACTGGACTGGACCCCTAGATTACTTTTAATGACAGAACAGGCACAAACTTCCTCTCTTAATCCCTAGAAAGCTCTGCAAACCTGCTCAGCAAGTAGGACATCTAGGGGACAGTCACTCTGTAGCTCACAGCACTTATAGTACCACTGCTTCCCTGGCTGATATCTGCTGCCTTTCTTTCCTTGCTCCTATAAGCGCATTCCCTTGCCCCCTTGTCATTTTCTCTCTTAAAATAAGTTCTTCTCAGACTAATGTTTCAACAGGGAATGAATCTGATGATGACTGATAACCAAGCCAGTAGTTCGTCTCCTGCCATGTGACTTTCTTCTGTTCTTGCTTTCTGCTTACTTGCCTTCTGTCAGTCTAAGGTATGAGGTGCAACATCATTTTTATTTGTCTAGGAAAAAAACCCACTCCATTTGACAGTGTACCAACATTTTGGCTTATCTCGTGGAAGAGACCAACACCTCAGATGGCTTCTGTATTTTCCAGTCCAGGGAGCCTGGGCTCTTGCAAGTGAGCAGTAGTAGTATTTGAGAAGGTAAACCCTTTTGTACATTCAGCCTCTCCATGCTTTGTATTTCTGCTCAGATATTTACAATGGGACCCTGTGTTGAATGTAAGATTATCATTGAGTCCACCCGAGGGAAATTAGTTGTAAGAGAGAAACAGTTCCCTTTGTGATTCCAGCATCTCATTGCTGAGCTTGCCTGATGTTGCCAGGCCCCTGCACAGTTTGGATTCTTCTAGCTCCCCAAGACTGCACCCCTCTGACCTTCCCCCACATGCAGCCCCAGCCACCCTCCCCGGGCTTCTTGCTCTCCTAGCCCTTCCTGTGGGGGCATCTGTGCTCTTCTGTCCACCCAGAATGCTCCTTCCCTCCCCTTCAGCTTGTCTTTTTCTTTCTGTTCTTGAGAACTCAGCTCAGATGTTGCTTTGAAGGAAAAGAAGCTTTTCAGATCTTCTCACAATGACAGATACCCTTGTAAAACCTCTTGTTGCACTGAATTATACACTTAAAAATGGTGAAAATGGTCAATTATGTTTTATTATTTTACCACACACACAAACCTATTGAAGCACCCTCATTTTTCTTTCTTAGCACTTACCAGAGTTGTAAGTAAACAACTTTGTAAATCTGTTGTTTACTGTCCCCCTCCTCTATTAGAACGCAGATTCAATGTGGTGGCCTCACCCGTCTTGCTCCCTGTAGAGCACAGCATGGTGTTGGGAGCATAGCGCGTGCTTAAAAATTACATGTTGAATGAATGAATTAGAAGACAGCTCAGAAAGCCATACTTTCAGCCCTTTCCTGAATCATTTCCTATCTTGTGCGTCTTATCTTTCTTCTTGCTCGACGTTCAAAGGTTGTCCAGTAAATACTAACTTAGAAAGCTTCTCAGTATGAGTAGCCTCCATTCAGGGGTATCCCGGAAGTCTACAGGCCAAGTGTCTCCCTGGTGTCATCCACCCAAGGATGTCCCAGAAACCGGTCAGGGGAGGATCAGCCCGGGGGGCCAGAGCTGAGCCTGACCTTGAGCCTGCCCTCTGATCCGTGCACTCTCTAGATGCTGTTGGAGGATCCTTTCAGATCCTTTGAGCTGGCCAAGCCGCTGCTGCTCTGAGCTCCATCTCACTGCTGTGCTCTTGTTCAGGTTCCTCCTGATGATGGGCGTGCTCTTCTGCTGTGGAGCTGGCTTCTTCATCCGGAGGCGCATGTACCCTCCGCCACTGATCGAGGAGCCTGCATTCAACGTGTCCTACACCAGGCAGCCCCCAAACCCTGCTCCAGGTCAGCCAATCCCTGTCCATGTCTCTCTTCCCTGCAGTTTATGTGTCCTCTGCAAGCATTTGAAAAGGGCACTGCTATGGAATATGCTAGAAAAAAACTTCAGGCCATATTTATTCATTTAAGTTCTGGTAATCAACCTTATTGTGCATTTGTGCTGATAAAAAATTCATTGTCTTTTGGATTGTGTGTCTGTCACTTCATATTCCTGCCTAATTATTGGTGTACATTTTATGCATGTTTATGCAGTTCATATATGCATATTATTTATTCTCTTTTTCCTTAAAAATTACTTTATGTATAAATTTCCATGTAGAAACAGTAATATCCCTGCCATTCTGAATGCCTCTGGACTAAATATTAGTTATGCTACTAAATGGTAATTTACTTAGATGTTGTCATTGCTGATCATTTGTTTTGTTTTGCTGTTTATTCATTCATTCAACAAGTATTTATTGTGCATTTATTGTGTATTCCAAGTACTTATAAATAGTGCTGCTATAGACATTTTTGCACAAGTTACATTTGACCTATTTAGGGAATATTACCCAAAGTGATGCTTGCTGTAGAGTCAAAAAGAATTAGTGTTTCTCAATTTTTATAAAAAACTGCTTTAACTATCTAAAACTCTCATGAACTGTGGTGGGTGAATTTTAGCCTCTCATGACACAGGGTAGTTCCCCATTTTTGACATTATATGTGGGATGTTTCCCTTCCCTTCTGAGGAGGACAGGGAGCCGAGGCTCCAGAGGGCTGGTTAGGCTCTGCTCATTAGATCTCCTGTTTCTGTGTGGTGAGGCTGGGCAGTCAGGGCTGCTCCCATGCACACTGCTCTGCTCCCTGTCAGAGTTTCCACCTTTGGGGGTCAAGGGTTCTCTCTATTCATTGCAACTGCAGGCAGACAGTCAGAATTCTAGGAGCAGTTCCTGTGTTGGTTCTCACAAAGTTTCAGTTATGCAGAATGAATAAGTCCTAAAGATCGGCAATACAGCATGGGGTTTATGGTTAATAATACCGTATGTAGACTTAAAACTTTGCTAAGAAGGTAGATCTTATGTTAAGTATTCTTATCAAAATAATAATAGTAATAGATCCAGAGCGCAGGAGGAAACATTTGGAGAGGATGGATGGGTTTATGGCATATATCGTAGTGATCGTTTAATGGTGTATATTTATCTCCAAGCTCATCAAGTTGTATACATTAAATATGATCAGCTTTTTGTACGTCAGTCATACAAAAAAGTGATCTTTAAAAAAAGGGAAAGAAGTAGGAGGGTTGAGCATAAGAGGAGTTTTCTCTCTTCTGTTCTCAGGACGCAGAGAGAGTGGAGGTGGTCATTTGTTGATTTGCTCTTTCACAGTTTTCTTCCACCAGATGCCTCGCAGGGTTCTCTTTTAAAAAGAATCTCTTTATTATTTTTTAAAATGTTACTCAAAGATTTGAGAAATGTATTTTCCACAGCAGCCCAGAGGCTGCTCCACCTTATCCTTGCACTCAGGGATGGTACCACTTTTCATACGTAAGTGAGTTTTTATTCTTTCATATTTGGAAATATTTGGATAGTTTCAAATTTGTGCTCTTGCACAGGGTGAAGTGCAAATTTTCAGTTAAAATGAGAGGCCAAGGCTAGATTTCATTTGGATTAGTCTGAGTTTTCAGGCCTTTGTTTTTTTTTTTAGGAAAGAGGCAGTAGATCAGAGAAATGGGTGAAAGGCCTTTGAATTTCCTCTTCCTTTCTGTCTTCACTACCTGGATTTTTAGTGCAAGGAGAAGCAGCCCATGTCCCACTTGCCCACAGGTGCAAGATGCTGTGTATCCTTGGTCTAGAGTGCTGGCCGAGTGTCTGCTGTTCCTTTCCTGGACTGGGGTGAGTGTGGTGAGCAGGCAGTGTTTCCAGCTGCGTGCCGGACACCTCCCCTTGCACAGCTGCAGCAACTCAGGATTTCCAACAATAATGCTGGGCATCCCCTACACACCCTCTTTCCTCATCCCCTCTCTATTCTGCATCGCAGTGCACCTTGTGTATCTAACTGGAATCCTCAGTTCCCTTATCAACCACACCCGATAAATAGGTCATCAGATCCTGCCAAGTCTTACTTCAGACTCTTATCTCACCGTGAGCAATGCCTGCTAAAAGTTTGCCCAGTCACTGGTCTTTTCCAGCTCTTCTCTGTCTTCCACATTGCCACCAGAAAGTTCTTTAAAAAAAGCACACAGGTCCTATCATTCTTCTGCTTAAGGGTCTCTGCTACCTCAGTTTTCTCCCAGCAAGTCCAGACTCTTTAGCCGAGGACCCAGGGCTCTTCACAACCTCATTCCTCTCCCCACCTCCTTGACCCTCCTCAGTGCCCTATGTGGGCAGCCTGCTCTCTCAAGTCCTGCCATCTCACTGGGCCCCTGTACGTGCCCTCCCTCTGCCTGGAAAATGCCCTCATAGTGGAATTGTCCCAGGCCACTTCCCTTCCTTCTCTTTCTATCCTGGGTGCTCTGCCAGTTTCTTTAACAGTGTCTATTGTGGTGAGTTTTAATCCCTTATGTAAAATTTGGGCCCCCCCACTGGGCCAAGTGCTTCAGCAGTACTCACATCTCAGGCACCAAGCAGACTCATGTCTGCCAGCTGAGTGAACTGGTCCACCTGGGGTTGGGATTTACTGTGGCCACACTCAGAGCGTGGAGCCCAGGCCTGCCTGAAGTGCTCACTCAGCCGACATCTACCACACACTGCAAAGGTGCTGCAGGTACACAGGACACCGGCGTACAGCCTGGTTCCAGTCCTCACTCACCCCTTGTGTGTTGCACGGTTTGCACAACCATGTGTAGGAGCCACGTGCAGTTGCACAACTAACTGTGTGGTCACTGGCCATGATGAGAGCTATGGGGAAAAAGTTCAGGATGCTGGGAAACCATGTAAGTGGGACACTCAATCTGGTGTTCAGGTGGAGGGACTGAAGAGTATGTAAGAATACTTAAGTAGGAGTGGGCTGGGGGAGGGACATGAGGCAGAATTGGCCAGTGAGGCTCCCATGGTCTTCCTTTCCCATCACTCTTTAACATGTCCACCAAGACTCCAGAGCCACAGAGCTCCAAACAGCTGCTCTTCCCCAGCGGCCACAGCACAAATGCAGGATGCTTTTGAAGGTGGGATAAATGGTAGGAATGTAGGACAGGAGAGACACCAAATAAAAAATATTGAGTTCCTCCGCAAACAGTGCAGAAAGACTGGTGGTAAGTCACCATTGAGCAGCTGCCAAAGGCCAAGCACAGCCTCTTTAACATCTTGGGTAGAGTGTGGTTTGACCTGATTCCACTGCAGTTGGGGGCAGTCAGAGAAATGGGGGCTGTTTATTCTCTTTCAAGATCTCCCATGAGGCAGTCACCAATGGGGACTAATGAAAGTGCCCATTCACCACCTGTTGGGAGATGACAGTTTGGGTGCCCACACCCCTCTTCAGTGAATCACAGCTGCTGCTTAATTCACCATCATCCTTCCATTTGTATACTTCTCACAGGCCTGTAACAGTGTGACATAGTCAATCCCAAAATATACCAGAGTATCGTATGAAAATAAGACTGGCTTTGTTCCATGGGAGTATACAGTTTCCATAATTTCACTACAAATTCAAAGGCTGTGTCATTTTTTAACAGTACTAAGTTTGGGAAGAATTTAAGTGTTTTCATTTGGTTTTTTAGAACTAGTAACATTGAAAAGAAATAGTGTCTATTGGTTTTTCAGTGATTTCAGTCTGGATACTCGCCTTATCCTGTGGATGGGATTCATCCCCCTGCAGCTGTTTGCTGAGGCCCTGTAAGGCCTCTTGGGAGTGCCCTTGGGAGTACAATGTGGAGCTGGGCTGACTAGGAAGAGAAACTGAGCGCACTAGCATTATATGGTAGTCCCACAGGATAAATACCATACCCAGGAGGATGGTATCTGCATGAAGCATGGGGTAGTGTTTGTGGATTTGCTGGGCTGGCTCCATTTTTCTTCTACTCCTGGTCTGGGGGAAGGGACGTGGATTCTGGTGAGCCTTGCTTATTCATGAAGAAGAAAAGGCAGAAGATTTTAGAGAACCAATTACTCATGCACTGGAGGGCAGTGGCTCATATCCTGGTATGCAAAGGGGCATGCAGCAGTGTTCCAGCTGGGACCAGCATCCCATTCCAACATGGCTGAGGGCAGAAAAGCAGAGATCTTCACATTATAAAGGTGCTCATAACTGAAGGAAGTGGAGGAATGTGGGTGGCAGCATCGTGGTTCTAGCAGGTTGATGTGAGTTGGAGCAGGACTTGAGGGGAAGAGACTGGCAAACAAGGTATGGGGGCTGGGGTTCAGAGGTCAGGTTCCAAGTCTGCCCAGGAACCAAAAGAAGCAAAGGCTGAAGCTGCTGGTTGAAGATCTCAGGGCCTATGATCCAGCTCACTTGGACCTCGAGCTTGGTGAGGGAGGTGCAGATGACGACAAGTGGGAGGAGTGCAGAGAAGCTGTAGTTTGAGAAACAAAAAGAGGCACCTGGACAGGGAGTTAGCAGGCCTGAGGTATGTGAGACGTAAGGTGGGCCACTCTCCCTTCTGAGCCTCAGCACTTTATCGGCAAAGTAAAACTGAAGAAAAGCACTCCTCCTTTTAGTTCATCTTTATGTACAGAGATGGCCAAAGTATAACTAGAACAAGTCAGAGCTTCCTAAATGCTACAGCCCCCCAGATCCTTCCCAAATATGCAGCTGATATGCTGCTGACAGGGCCTATGGACCTGCCCTCCTGAGTGGAGAGAAAAGATAGACTTCATTCATTCATTCATTCATTCAGAAAACATTAGCCAACTGGCAGCAGTCACTGTGTTCACACATGGGGAAAGGTGTGAGTAGGATATCCTCTCTGCCCTTTAAGAACATGTAGTACAGTGGGTGGTGGGGAAACAGGAGAAGGGGGTCAAAAGGTACAAACTTCCAGTCATAAGATAAATAAGTTCTGGAGTGTAATGTACAGCATGGTAACTATAGTT